TAGTTTCTGCTGGGTATTAAGGGGGTGGGGGGGAGAGGGAGGGGGCGGAGTGGGTGGTAAGGGAGGGGGTGGGGGCAGGGGGGAGAAATGACCCAATCCTTGCATGCATAAATGAATAATAAAAGAATAGAAATAAATAAATAAAGTCAAATAAACTCTTCTAAAAAAATGAATCAGTTTGGTCCATGTGTGTACAAATATCAAAAAATATAACTTTTGGTGCTTAATTCAATTACCGAAAAACTTTTACATGTGTTGAAACTACTTAGGTATGTAAATTTACTTTTTCAATCACAAATTTTTATGAACTCTAAATTCAGATCAAGAGTTTCCAATGAAAATTAAGTGTCTGAATTAAAATGTGCTACAAATGTAAAATGTACATTAGATTTCGAAGAGTCTGAATTAAAAAACTATAAAACAGCTTATTAACTTTTTATATTAATACCATGTCAAAAGGACATTATTTGGGGGTTTTTTTCCTTTTTTTTTTTAATGGTGCTGGGGATCAAATCCAGGGCCTTGTCCATGCTAAGCAAGTGCTCTACCACTAAGCTACACCCCAGTCCCAGTATTTTGGATTTATTTGCTTAAATGAAATAGATTATTAATTTAACTACACCAATTTCTTCATACTTTTTTTACATGGATACAAGGAAGTTTAAAATTACATGTATGGCTAGCATTATATTTCTGTTGGGCAGCACTGATTTGAAGATAACATTCATTTGAAAGCCCTAATTTCCTGGACAGAATTAAAACCGGGCTCTGCAAAAAGTCCATTGCACTTGTTCCGTTCCCTCACCAGCCCATTTGGGAAACAATCCCAAATGGAGGTTTACTCACAGCTCACAAGAAGACAAGAAAGCCTGCAACCTTGCTAAGAAAAGAAAAGCCTTCTGCCCTCTGAGACTATGGCCTTGAGACCTTGATGAATTTCTGAAACTCCCAGAAGGGACAGAAGAAAAGGACAGCGTTTGGCAAGGAACCCCATCCAGGCTCTGGGAGGCCACTGGACAGAGTCAGCCACAGTGCCCATGAGTCGCATTTGCACAGATTAGAACCACCCTGGCTCATCCTGAACAACTGAGGCCTTGACACCACTGACCTCTTTGAGCTGCCATTTTGTCTTATAAAATGAGGGAGATTTCTAACTCTGAGGTCCTTTCTCTGGGCCATACAAAGTCATAGGAGAGAAACAAACTGATAAAAGGTTACTATCATCTCCTGGAATTACTATAGTCCCTTTCAGTACACTTAAGAGAGTGAAAGAAGCTGATGAGAATTGTGACAATCCCTAGCCTACATAAGTTATGACACCATTTACAAAACACCATCACAGATCATGTCACATGCCACTGACAGCCAAAGAACAGGTATTGTCACACATCTATCCCCATTTTACAGAGGAGACACAGGGACTCAAAACAGTGGTGGCTGTCCAATGCACAGGTATCTCCTACAACCTGGTCAGGACTCCAGTCCTTCACTCACTCTGCTTCAATACATTCCAAATTTGCAAATGTGTACAGCATTTGTTTTACAGCATCTTCTGCTTCCTATTTATAAAAACAAAACTTCTACTTTTGTCTTTAGAGAAAAATTTCATAGAAGGATTGAATATTTTATAAAAATTTTTTAAATGAATAATCTAAATAATCATGCCCCACTTCTACTCCTAATGCTAGTGAAATGATCTTTCACATTCTAAACACAAAAGAATATAACAAGACTTCAGGACGCCTCATTCCCCATTAAGAGCTGCTGCTGAACCATGAATACCCATCATGCAGAGAAGTGGGTTAGTTATTAGGACCAGCAAGTCTGAACAAAAAATGTAAGTGTTCCTGTGAGCACTCAATCTTGTAAATACCTATTGTCCAGAAAGGAATGTTCATGGGGGAAAACAGCATTTGCACTGAATCACATCTTCTAGTGTCTCCTTATCTAAAATGGTCTGTTTGGCTATACCTGCATGTGTACTAGTTACATGCAAAGAATCCTGGAGACCTACTACAGTCATGACTTCAGGGATCATACCCAGTGCATCCCTATTAATAACAGCAATGACAATCACGGTAACTAGTAGTAAGAAGAATTTTTCACTAATATACTGGAACTATGAGACAGGCATTCTTCAGAACTTGACTCAATCAATCCCCACAACAGCCCGGAGGTAATTACTATCATTCTACTCATTTTGCAGATAAGTTAAGGCACAGAGTCAAATACACATTGTGTACCAGACTACAGTGCTATACGTACTCCACATGTGTCACCTTGCTCAATTCTCATACCTGCTTTATGAGAGAGGTACTGAGGCTTAGAGAGATGAGGAGATTTGCCTGTACTAATAAGATGAAGAGCTAATGTTAAAACCCAAGCTGATGACCCTCGATCTCAGTTACTGTATAACACTATTACTTTCCACCTTATATAACTGTTCTTGTAATACCTAGCCATGCCCCAATTACTCAGAGATGGGTGGTAGACTAGATCCTGTTATACCCTGCCCAAATATCTTCTCTGAGGGACCCTTGGGTGCTATGAGAGTTGGCTAACAAGAGCTTACACAGGCCCTTCTCCAGGAACCAGCTCCTGCCCAGAAATGCCTAGATCTATGCCTGCCACCTTCCTCCACAGCCAGTGGCTGACTGATACTGCCCAGTCACCTTGCTTCAGGATGTGACAACTCTGAGGTGCCATTCACTCTGGAGCTCCAGGAATGAGAAGTACCTCTTTGCTTGGTTCTTACCTTGCCTTGCCCTACCCTGCTCCCCTGATTTCCTGATGGCTTTGTCTTAAGAACCATACCAGAAAAAAAATCACTTATGCAAGAAACCCTGAGTCAGTCTCTACTTCTCCCGAGCTTCACCTAGGAAACAGGCTTTATCAAGCACTACACAGCAACACTTTAAACTGCAATCAAAGCAACCTGGAGGAAGCTGTCAGTACTGACACATGTTGGTTTTTTTAAACAGTAAAAGTATTTTTCCTTTTAAATAATCCCACATTTTTGCATAAGTGTTTCAGGATGGAAGCTAAAAGCATTTATATAAAATACTGAAAATGGAGGCCTTAAAGAACACCTACTTCACTAAAGAAGCTTTGCGGCACAGTTTGTCAGCCCCTCTGTAGTAGTTCACCAGCTGCGCCAGCCCGGGCTCGTGACCTACAAGGAAAGAGAAGGCTCAGAAAGGAACAGGACAGGTGTGGACCAACAATGTCAGCACCAGCATGCAGGAGAGAGAACAGTTGTGTCATGCCAGCTTTTCTTTCTCTCTTTCAGGACTGGTTGTTAGATAATTTTGTTTGTGTGTCCCTGAGGTCCTTCTTTCTCTCAGTATCCTCTGACAACTCTCACCCTCCCCACAGTAGATACGAGAATATCAACATCGAAGATCTGCCAAAGACCACTGCTACCTTTGTTTTTTCTTGTTAGGATGGAGGCTGTGGAATTATTTTTTATTTCACCTTTTCTTGGCTTAACACCCATAGACTTATAATCTCTGCACAGTAAGGCTACTTTTAGAGTCACACTCTCCACTTCCCCAACTTCTACAGACATCAGAGAAGGCAGCAGAACGATGATGATGTTGATTCAAGCTTCTAGCAGGGCCACTGGGAGAGAGGGATAGAGGGAGGGAGGAAGGGAGGGAGGCAGGCAGGGAGGCAGGGAGGAGATGGAGAAGCTGTGTCCATATGTCAGGAGCCCTGAGAACTTTCTTCTGTGCATGATCCCATAGGGAAACCCATCTCAACTGCTCTTGTTACTCAGCTCCTCCTCCACAAAATTAGAACAGGGGGCTGGAGTGCAGTTCAGTGGTAGAGTACATGCTCAGCATATTTGAGGCCATATGTTCAATGCCCAACACCACGCACACATAAAAAAATAAATAAAATAAAACAAGCACACATAAAAAAATAAATAAAATAAAACAAATGCATAAAATTAGAGCTGAAAGGATACAAATAAAAACACTATTTAAAATTTTTTTAAATCATTTAAAATCCTTACCAAATGCATTGCATTTCCAGTAACAAAAAATAAGACTCAAAAGTAAGATTTTCAGTTGATATCAGAGATAAGAATAATTCACCTGAGAATGGCATACAATCAAATCGAAAGCTTTAGGCATTACCTGGCTTTCACAGTCCCTGGGGCAGACAGACTGATTCACACCTGAACTACCTCCTCATCCCCACAGCACTGGCATTCCTGAGCCTTTACCTGACTCTACAAAACTTTCTCCTTAGGTTTCACACAGTACACTTTAAGCAAAAGATAAATCTCCCTAACAGTAAGGCATATAGCCATTGTGGTTTGGGAATGCTGTTTTCCTTATGATAAAAACCAAATGTTTTCCAACATTTGCTAAATTTTTGGTGCCTGTTTAGGATATGGACCCCAGGGGTTTCCGCTTTTCATCTCCAGCAATGACAACTATCCCTGACTCTGCCTGAGCACAACCTTGTGTGTTTTAAATATTAGGATTCCACCTGAGTTTGTAAGTCAGACACTGCCAAGTCCAAAAGAGGAAAGCCAGTTAGTTAGGAAGGGAAATGGGTAAAACATAGAGGAAATAATTACTCAACTACAAGCAATTTTTCCTCTCCTCAGGGGAAGTAAATTTTTTTTTTCCTGCTGAGGGCTTTCCAGGGAGACAGTTTAACAAAAGGGAATCTCCAGGCTCATTTTCTGTATTCTGAGATTGCTGGGGATTCCAATCATCCTTTCCATGGAGTCACTATTCTACACCATAAACTTGTATTAACAATGAAAAGTTGTCCACAGTACAGTGCCAAAGAAAAAATTCAGTAAGGTTATACCTCAATATGCTTCATTCCCCAAACTATGGCAGTTTGACACAGCTGTAATGTCACCCAAATCCTCTAAGTAAGCTCACCAAGGGCCAGCCAATTCCAAATGGCCTATTCCAGTCTGCACCCATTTAGCCTCTGACCACACCTATTTCAGAAATCCCTCTCCTCTGTGGGTTGCTCTCCAAGGCCCAGATCACTCTTCTTCACCATCTATGCTCACCTTCTGCCCTTGGAATAGAATTGGCCCCACCCAGGTGAGTGTGGCAAGGAACCAAGGCTACCCAGAGAGGGAATGCCCTTCCCAGATGACAGTGCCATGACGGGACCAGGAGTCTCAGGTCTGTGGATTATGAGTTGAACCGATCTGGACAACTTCTGGATTACGTCATTTTAAAAGGAGCCACTGGTCCTCTCCTCTCTCTGTCCCTTCCTACAGGGGAGTATGTGATAGGGTGTTGCCAAGCCAGCCTCAACCATATAAATTGGTAACTCCCTCAGAAGAGCAGGGCAGAGATCCAGGGGAACCCAGGCTCTGGTAAAAACCTTTATTCAATGCAGTTGTGAAAGCACGTTCTTTGGTGACGCTAAGGAAAGGTCTAAAATCAGACACCCCCTCCAGCATTCCTTGGGCAAGGAAGGGCTAAAGCTCGTGCTTTTGGAATGCAAAAGTCCTTTTCAAATCCAGTGCTCGTGAGTCTGAGCCTTCGGGGAGCAGACTCCCCGGGGCTTCAACACCTACAACTCCCCCTCCGGCGCCCACAGCCGGCAGGGAGGAATCTTCAGCGCAGAAAAACTGCAAAATGACTTCAGCCGGATGCCAGCCCCTGGCTCTGCAAAGCCTCGCCCCGCCCGGGTCCCCAACCTGCCTGATCTGGGGTCGTCGGGCCGGGGGGAGACCGGCTACTGCGGTCGACGCCGTCCCCCGCCCCCGTGCTGCAAGGACAAGTCATTGTCAGCTGAAGCCGCACCGCGACTCCGGTTCCCAATCTGGTTCAGGAGCTCAGAAAGCGATGGGTTTACGTCTTGCTGGATCCGTTTTAGATCTGCCCGAGCAACCTCACGGAGGGCAAGATTTATGACCCTAAAAACAAAAGCGCTGGCTCTCCCGGGCCGTGGGAGGAGCGGCCGGCCAGGCCGCCCGCTCGGGGGCGCAGACGCGGGAAATGGGGGACTGCTCACCCAGTCTCCCGAAAGGCAGCCGGTTCCTCTCTCCCAGCATCAGGTTAAACCTGGGGTTGTCCCGCCTCAGCCTCTTCCAGTGGCCGGTGGCGAGGAGCAGCCGGGAGACCTCGGCGTAGACGCTGCTGTTCTCGTCGCGCACCACGAAGGTGTACATGGCGAAGGGCCGCGTACCCCGCGCGCCGGAGCCGCCCGGGCAGCCGCAGCAGGAACGACGGGCCGAGGCGGCGGCTCAGCTTGGACGCAGCCGGCCCGGGCCTCCCGCCCGCCCGCCTAGCGCAGCGG